TTTTTTTTTTTTTTTTTTTTTTTTTTTCGCTAGTTGCTTGTTTGCATGTGGGTGTAGTGGGGAAGAGAGGGAGATCAACAGTTGTTTTTGTGCATTGGCCACACTCTGTGGGGATCTGCAACATATCTGCAGATGGAAAACATTAATTTAACCAGTTCTTCGTACAAAAAAACCGCAGTGGTTGCTTGAAGTCAGAACAATTCTGTGAGTCGGAGCAGCGATGTTAAGCAGCAAGCACTGTAGCTAGCTATGCACTCTGCTCTTCAGATCTGTTCTATAAATACGGCTGCTGTCAGGCAACATCTCTGCTCCCTTGTGGTGACACTGAATAAAGGGGATACTTTTAATTCATAACAGTATCATGTTGTGTGCATTATAAATCCATAGATTGTGGGCCATTGTTCTAGGGCAAACTTTTGCTGTCAAATAGTCACTGTGGTACTTGTACAGACTAAAACTTTTGAGACCTTTTACTTGGCCCAGACGTGGGATAAAAGTAGAAGAGTTGCAGCTGGTAACATGTTCTTGCTTTGTATTCTTAGATAGGTGCCTGGTCCTGTGCTTGAACTCTTTCCATGTACACGTACTCGTCTCAAATCGAACTCGTGTTTTTCTTCTGTCCATCTTACCTATGTAAATATCTTCATCAGAGCATAAGTGAATTCTATGTGTTAAAGTATATACTTAAAAAATTGTGTGTGTATGTGTACATAAAGATTTCCTGTATATATGAGAACCTTGTAAATTTAAGTGACTGAGTGTAATTTCAGCATGAATTAAAATATGGAATAGGTGGGATAAACCATACAGACTTATACCAGGGAATTGTGTGCATAATGTGTGTCTCCAAAATTTCACAGGGCAGTCTCACCTACAGGTTGAGTGCTTTACTTTTTAAGATAATATCTGCTAGAATATTGCAGCTGGTCTTGATTTTTAGTCTAGAGATACATATAATGCACACATTTCAATCTCTGGCCATGTCAGGAAACGGGACTTTATCATCGTAAACTTCAAGTTTTGCACTTTGTAAAAGCTTCCTTGTACTGTTGCGTTATGAATGACAATGATGAGGTTTAACAAAGAAGATACATCAGAAAGAATTTAAAAGACTGTATAGGAGTGACAAAAAGTAATGAAGTATAAAGAGTCTCATAGTATTTGAAAAATGTTTTCTTCTTTTTTTTCCTAGAAAATGGAATAAATGGAACAGTGACCTCAAATGGAGCAGACTCGCCTCGTAGCAGGAAGGATAAATCCTCGTAAAACTGGGTTTTATTAAGTTAATTGACTAATGTCCCCAAAGAATCTGCTTTTTACATGGATGGCCCGTCAGCACTAGGGATGTTATGGATTAAAGAAAATACAATTCATGTTTTTTGATTATTGCTGTTGTTTTGAGAAACTTTTTTTAAAAGCCATTTTGACTAAGGAAAAACGTTTATCTGTCTTCAAATACTTGGGGGGGGGGATGCAACACTTTTTAAACAACATTGACACTTTTTTAAACATTTATTGTGATGAAATAACTTGACTTAATGAGGTTCACTGTTGCAATGTATCATTTCCTTCCAGTTTTTGTAATCTGGGTGATATATAATGTTGTACCAACTTCACTTTTTCAAAGTTCTTCAAGAAGTATTGCAAAATTGAAGTAAAAACTTAGCGTGCATTTTCAGATACTCTGGCTTTTCAGTTAATTACCTTGATTCAAATTTACAGTTCAAATTGGGATTCTGAGACCACACCAATAAACCTCGTTATTCTGTAGTTGTTAGCTACACGCCTGCTCTAAGAATTGCCCCATATCATTAAAACAAGACTGAACTAATTGGAAATGTTGCAGAGTCTTATTGTTTGTTGGTTAGAAATCTCTTAAAAGGAACAAGAAACCTTTCTGAGATATAGCTTTAGCACTTGAAAATTAGAAGGGAGGGTGTATGGTCATAGCAAGAGTTGATTTGAGTAGCACTGTTAACTCCTGTCTGTGCTTTTAAAGTGTAGGTATCTTGGAGAATTAGTGTGCGTTGGACCTTCTTTGAAAACTTGTCTGTCTGATTTTAGAGGGTGGATGTTCTTACAGTGTGGTGTTGTGTTTGTTTTAGGAGGCATTTAATGCTCCATGAAGAGGGAATTTATTAGATAAATGGATCAAGTTGTGAGAAACATTCCTTTATTCTAACTGCTTTGCTTTGTTTCACCTCTTAGGAAATAGTCTGATTTCTCTTATATATATTTTTTATGAAAAAATATTTAAAAGCTACAACTTCTTAAAACTGATTAATTGTGCCCTTTGCTACAGCTGGAAAAATCTTAATTTAAGAATTTTTCCATTATCTGTCTTTCATAATTTTATTAAATGTGAAGCTTTGTCCAGTTAATTTTCCAGTTTAATATGCAGTTAATGTTTCCTCCGTACCCTTTTGTAATGGGTATAATTCAACCCATTTCACTTGAGAATGAGTTAGAGATTTAATTCCGTCTTAAGAAGAAGTTGCTAAATTAGTCTTTCAATTTAACCCAAGTATTGGACTGCTTATTGATTGAGAGGAGTAATTATGAGCAATCAAGCTGATAAATAAAACAGTTTTAATTTAAAAAACCTGTTACTGTAGTTGAGTTTACACCCAACAAAACAATAAATCTGCGTTCTGTATCTTCTACAGTTCAATTGCTTACTAGACAGAATAAATGTTTCTAGTACAAAATCTTCACTACAACTATCCATTCTTCAGTTGTCCAGTGCTATTTAGAGTTATTGCAGTATAATTTAGTATGTGTTTCGGCTAATTTCAGTCACAGCTCCCGAGTACTTGCTTCACAGCTCCCAAAGTGGACTTGAGAGGCTTGGACTTGCTTAGCTTGAGATCTCTGGGGCAGCATGCCCTGTAATATGCCCAGTCTGCTTCAGTGGAAGTAGCTATACCATGTCTTGATTTGAAGAAATAAAACTCGGGTGGTGAAACTGTGAATCTATCTGATCTGACCATGAAACTGGAAAATAGGTACTCAGAAATTTTGAGGGAATTGCATATATTAAATACTCGCTGCACAAAATCATGTTTCATGTCTGATGTTTCTGAAAAGACCTTCGTAGATCCTGCGTGCCTTGCTCTCAAGTTGTACCTTAAGCCAAAAGGGGCAAATTTTTCAAGTTTCTAGTCTGGTACTTTGACCCTAAAGCAGTTTGCTTGTGATACCTGGTTGTACTGGGGCTGTCAAAATCATAGAGGTCGGAGGAACAAACTATGAATGGAGCGTTTAAGGTGCTTCGTGAGATCCTTAAGACTTACTGGAGCCTGAGGGCTGTAATAGTTGTTTCCCTAAGGCAAACCGTTTCGTGAAAACCTCATTCTTTGGCACAGTAGTCTTGAAATGTAAACTTCAGGTTCACTTCCAAAAACTTCAAGAGTATGTTCTTGCCTGTTAATACTGACATTGCTTTTTGTCTCCTTTTGGCCTTACGGATGTTCTTGGTATTTGGACTTCTAAGCAACCACTTTTGTTTCCACAATGGCTTAATCTGCACCCTTGCCTTATAGGAGTTGTTGCTTTCTGCCAAATAATAGAGAATAATTTCAGTTGTTTCAGAATTTGGATAGAGTGTTGAAAGCCAGTATCTTTTGTGTCTGGTGTCATAACTAAAAATACATATTTGTCATTTTGGATGAGGCAAAAGCAGTAATTGTTAATTTTCTACCTTGGAGTGGAAGCCCCCATGAATTTAGACGATTTTGAGGCTTCTATTTCTGGTTTGATATTACTTGTTTGGGCATAAGATTATTGTTTGCCTGGATAACTCCTCCTGAATTGCTTAAAACTGATTTTTCAAATGTTACTGCTCTTTGTTTGTAATCTGGGATTCAGTAAGCTGGAAGAAGATTAGTTGTCTAATCATGTTTTCTTAATTATGGAATCAGGAAAATTAGAAATGGAAATGACTGAAGAGCTCATTATATTCCTATGCCTAATAAAATAATTTTGCTTAGGCTGTAGTAATTTATCCTGGTCGATTACCAGGTCCCATAAAGAGAAGGCTTTGTCTGTGTAGGTGGATTTGAATCACGTAATTCAGACAGGCTGTGGATAGGGTTTGTTGGCTTTGGGTTTTTTCTTAAACCCCCTCCTTCCCTGCACCATCTTAACAGAACTTTACGATAGATGATTTCAAGCCTTTCTTCCTCCTCCCTCCCCCCCCCCCTCCATGTATGTTTGGCTTATGTGTCAGAATTTGCTATCAAAACCAGTATTGTACTTTTACTAAGTAATTATATGTAACTTCAGAGTACAAAGAAGGAATGCAGAGCAGCTGAAATTAATTTTCAGAGTTTTTGGGTTTTATTTGGACACTTTCTCCTTTTGACTAGTTGCAAAGACTGATTTCTCCTGTGTGAAGTACTCGTGAACGTGGCTCTTTGGAAATACTGCTTTTCAGGTGGTCCCGTGCCCAAACTTAGGAATGATCAAGGGTTTTGCTGTGCAGAGAAAATACATAGGCTATTTCTACTGACATTAGGATACGCTGAAAGTAAATTAAATATATTGGGATAATGCATTTAGAAAATCAGTAGTTATTGGTAAGCATTTGATATTTTTCCTCAATACTTTTTTCTTTGAAAATTTTAGTTGTGTTTATGGAGTTGCATTACCCAGAACTGCAGTAAGCGGCGTGGTGCTTTGGTACCAGTAATCGGACTTCCGTAAGAAGGGTTAATACACATCTGCAGCCCTTCTGCTCTTTGCAGATTTCTGACTAACTGCACCTGAGGTGATTTCGCTGGGGGCAGAACTTGATACTGAAGGGAAGGGGGAGCATTTTCATGGTCATGCTAACCTGAAAGTAATGTAGGTTGCTGCCAAAATTGGGGCTCTGTCCCTTGCCTTGTTAGCACAAGCCTTTCTGGTTGCATGGGTGAGCTAGATCAGGGAGCTGGTGCGGCTGAAAACTGCTGGAAACGTGCGGCTTGTTTGCTTCGTTGCTTTTCTGCTGGCTTGGTTGTGCGTTAGTAGTCCCAGAGGTACTCAAGGATTTATGTACAAGCAAAAAGAAAAGCTGCAGGGAAAAGGTGAATCAAGCTCTTAAGGCAGCTACCCCTTTCAACTGCGCGTTTGGTGGCAAATTATACTAGATTACAGTATGACTTGGAAGATCTCGTTGAAGGGTTTCCAGTCATCTATACCAGAAGGGAGAGCTGGTCTCTCTCGTAGCTCCTACACGCCAAACTGTTTTAAGTGTTAATGGATTTTTGTCAGATAGCGAGGGGGAAGGCGAAATGCTCGATGTGCTTTACTGTACTGAGATACTGTCTCTCTGTCATAGTTTCAGGGTTTCCAAGCAGTGCAAGATGATACTGGTGGTGTAGAAATAGGAATTCTGAAAATGTAGTTCCTCTGGGATCAAAAAACCAAGATTACTTCCCCTAACAGCCGAGAAACTACCACTTTTTTGCTTTTTTTGGTGTAGGATTTATTTTGTTTTTTCCACATGAGCCCTTTATGTATTGAAGTAGTTCTTCCAGAGAGCTTTGCAAGAATTGCAGTGTATGCCTGGCTGGGGACGTGGAAGGGAGGGTTGTTTGGGTTGTCTTATTTTGTTTTCCTGTTTTCAGGAATTTCACCAGCAGTTTCCCATGTCATACTTGGGTTTCATTCCACCTGTGGCTCAGCCCTTTGGGCTGGTGGTGTAGAAGGTGGAGACTGGCAGCTTCAGTAGGCTCCCTATGCAATGTTGGCCATTGCTGTCCTAACTGTTCTCTGTGGAAAATGTCAGTATTGAAGGGACTTGAACACTAAGTAGAGACAGTCGTGATAATTTGTAACGATTGGGGGCCGATGAGAGCCTGCGTGCAGAGATCCCGCATTCCAGGCAGCTGAGGTTTAATCGCTGGAGGCTGTACTGAAGTCATTTTGCTCCGCAAATACTTGGGTTACTTCTTGCGCAGGCTATAAGAAGATCCCACAAAATTAAGGCTCGGGGAAAACCGAAGAGGTCCTTTAAAAAGAGTAAGACTCTTCAAAGGACTGACGTCGGTTGTCATGTGTTCATCGGATTGTAATTTCTCGCACTGTTCATTGTAGATTATCCTTAGAGCACTGGATTAGCCCATGCTTGGGTTTGGGGGTGGGTTTGTTTTTTTTTTTTATACACTATAGGTTGTTGTTGTGGATGCCTGGTGGGTATCGTCTCCTCACTGCTCCCTGAACTATTCAGTTTCGGATCTGATAAGCCTGGTTCTGTACACATTAAGGAATTTGGCACGCTCCTCAGAACTAAAATAGAAGCAGTGCCGGAGTGTTTCTGGGATCAAGACGTGCAAGAAATAAGCACATCAATGTCGGGTGTCATCAGAACCCACTTAATAGGAACTGAAACTCATTAGGATGAATACATTACAATACAACTTGTATAGCAATGTAGTGGTTGGGTATAGCTCACATGGAGATGGCAAGTGCCTTTGTGGGTGGAACAGAGCTGCTACGGTAGCATTTACGGCTGTCGGTTCCCCTTCTGGTGAGGAGCACTGGGCTGCAGCTGCAGTAGGCTGCTTTCTGCCTTTCAGAGTTCTTTTGATGTTGACAAGACAAAAGGCAACAACTCTTATTTCAGGTTTGAAAAAAAAAAAAAAACCTACCTAGTTTTGAATCCAGTACACTTGCTCTTAATCTCTTTCTGTGTGTCCTGTCACTTTTATTTGAGGTTTCCACAAATACTTTGCTTTTATCCAGCTCAAGGATGGCAAATCTGTGATGCAAGTGCCAGAAGTGACAACTCCTTTGTCTTCTTTCTGTGTTTGAAACTTTTTGCAGAATCAGAGCAGCTAAAGTGTAGCTTTATAATTTGATAGCTTTTCATTATTCATTCTTTGTCCTTATTTATTGTGGTTAACATTAAAGGTCAGGCATTGTCATGCAGCACAACGCAGCTGTTACTTCTTCATTCCACACACAAGAGCGTTAGGCAATTTGATATACTGAAGTGAAAAAATACATTAGTAAGTCTTGACTGGTTTAGCAGAAATTGGTATTCCTGGGTGGGTTTTGTTTTCCATATTGCAGTGCAGTATTATTACCTTTTCATTTAGGAAACTGGGCACTTAAGATCTCGGAATCTCTAGGCTGTAGCTTTGCTGTGTACAATTTGACAAATTATGGTCTAGAACTTGAGCTTTGTGTCTCCTTATATTGGTTATAAATGTTGAAGAATGTATCTTGCGTTGTAATTAACAGGTAAAAATTCAGCCCATGGTGATAAGAATACTGTAACGGGGTAGGAATTTCAACTCCTGAACTCCAGACTAGAAGCCAAGCCAAAACTATCTTGTATTCTCATGCAAGTAATCCCTCCTCTTTGTTTCTTGATTAATCATTATCTTTGTTTTGTTTATTTAGATTGTAAGTTCTTTGTGGCAAGCGGTTGTCGTGTGTGTGTGTGTGTATGTGTGCGTGCACGCGCGTGTGTGTGTCTGCCCGGGACAATAAGGCCTGGAGCCCCAGTCTGTGGAAGCTGTAATAAGCAATCACCTTGTTATTGTTTTCCTGGATATGGTAATAAAGAGTATCCAATTTAAACTGTGCTTGAATAGTCTGTTACAAAAGGGGAGGCACATTGCATCTGGCCTTGCTTACAGGCCAGCGGCATCAGTAGCAGAGAGATACCGGTCAGAGACAAACACAGCGTTCTGTTTGGGGACATCCACTCACACCAATGAACACAGAGCCAGGAAATCTTAGGTTGAAGAGAAATGGCTTGTAACTCGGGCTGGGGCTTGCACAAAATTACTGGGAACTCAAGGTTGAGTTTCTCAGCTTCTGTCAACTTGAGAAACTGCATGGGTCCTCCCTCTCAGGAAGGTGGGGCTTGTTTGCTCTAACGCTTGTGCAGTGTTTTGTATCCTTTGAGTAGCGCTTTCAAGCTTGAGAGGGTAACCATGAACTTGGAGAATACCAAAAACTGCACTGGGCAGGGTCTGCTGTGGCCTGGGAGCTTACTGTTCAAATTCAAGTATCTCCACTCTCTTCAGCTAAGCAACTTTTAAAGCCTTTGTAGACTTCAGCTTCACTGATACGGAAGAGTAAAATTGCATCCAGTCTGAAACTGAACCCCTACACTGACCCACTGGTGATGTAGGCAAAGCGGTAGGGAACCTAGGGCTGTTATCCCAGTTAGGGAAAGTTAGGCTGGTTTTAGGAAACTTTTGCCATGAACATTCCCTTCCTGTGGGTTGATTCGCTATGTGGTGGTGGGGTTGCCTACACATCCCAGGATCTCTGGTTCACCTCAAGATACATGAGATTGTTGCTTTCGAAGAACTATTGAAACTACTTCATCATTCTTTAAACCTGCATTCGTAACTTGTAAATCCTCACATAAATTGAAAAAATGTTAAGTGAATATTCGTTTTCTATGAAGACACATCTGGTTCTTGGCTTCGTTGTTAGACAACGTAGCTTAACTGTAGCTTAAAAAGAAGTTGTGTTAGCAAAGCAATGGAAAACACATTATTTTAGGAATTAGGAGTTCGTCACTCTTGGGTGATGAACTCAGCCATAGCTGGTGAAGGACCAGCAGATACTGACTAGTAAATGGCATCTAGAAAGGTTGGACCAGATGATCCTTGAGGTCCCTTCCAACCTAGGATTCTATGATCTAGGACAATTGTAACAAGTCCTGCCTTGTCTTTCCCCTGCTGCACCTCTCAAAATCATCGTCTCGCCCTGTTGCCACTGGCTGAACAATCTAGCAGGTACCATTTTCCATATTGCAGTGCAGTATTATTACCTTTTCATTTAGGAAACTGGGCACTTAAGATCTCGGAATCTCTAGGCTGTAGCTTTGCTGTGTACAATTTGACAAATTATGGTCTAGAACTTGAGCTTTGTGTCTCCTTATATTGGTTATAAATGTTGAAGAATGTATCTTGCGTTGTAATTAACAGGTAAAAATTCAGCCCATGGTGATAAGAATACTGTAACGGGGTAGGAATTTCAACTCCTGAACTCCAGACTAGAAGCCAAGCCAAAACTATCTTGTATTCTCATGCAAGTAATCCCTCCTCTTTGTTTCTTGATTAATCATTATCTTTGTTTTGTTTATTTAGATTGTAAGTTCTTTGTGGCAAGCGGTTGTCGTGTGTGTGTGTGTGTATGTGTGCGTGCACGCGCGTGTGTGTGTCTGCCCGGGACAATAAGGCCTGGAGCCCCAGTCTGTGGAAGCTGTAATAAGCAATCACCTTGTTATTGTTTTCCTGGATATGGTAATAAAGAGTATCCAATTTAAACTGTGCTTGAATAGTCTGTTACAAAAGGGGAGGCACATTGCATCTGGCCTTGCTTACAGGCCAGCGGCATCAGTAGCAGAGAGATACCGGTCAGAGACAAACACAGCGTTCTGTTTGGGGACATCCACTCACACCAATGAACACAGAGCCAGGAAATCTTAGGTTGAAGAGAAATGGCTTGTAACTCGGGCTGGGGCTTGCACAAAATTACTGGGAACTCAAGGTTGAGTTTCTCAGCTTCTGTCAACTTGAGAAACTGCATGGGTCCTCCCTCTCAGGAAGGTGGGGCTTGTTTGCTCTAACGCTTGTGCAGTGTTTTGTATCCTTTGAGTAGCGCTTTCAAGCTTGAGAGGGTAACCATGAACTTGGAGAATACCAAAAACTGCACTGGGCAGGGTCTGCTGTGGCCTGGGAGCTTACTGTTCAAATTCAAGTATCTCCACTCTCTTCAGCTAAGCAACTTTTAAAGCCTTTGTAGACTTCAGCTTCACTGATACGGAAGAGTAAAATTGCATCCAGTCTGAAACTGAACCCCTACACTGACCCACTGGTGATGTAGGCAAAGCGGTAGGGAACCTAGGGCTGTTATCCCAGTTAGGGAAAGTTAGGCTGGTTTTAGGAAACTTTTGCCATGAACATTCCCTTCCTGTGGGTTGATTCGCTATGTGGTGGTGGGGTTGCCTACACATCCCAGGATCTCTGGTTCACCTCAAGATACATGAGATTGTTGCTTTCGAAGAACTATTGAAACTACTTCATCATTCTTTAAACCTGCATTCGTAACTTGTAAATCCTCACATAAATTGAAAAAATGTTAAGTGAATATTCGTTTTCTATGAAGACACATCTGGTTCTTGGCTTCGTTGTTAGACAACGTAGCTTAACTGTAGCTTAAAAAGAAGTTGTGTTAGCAAAGCAATGGAAAACACATTATTTTAGGAATTAGGAGTTCGTCACTCTTGGGTGATGAACTCAGCCATAGCTGGTGAAGGACCAGCAGATACTGACTAGTAAATGGCATCTAGAAAGGTTGGACCAGATGATCCTTGAGGTCCCTTCCAACCTAGGATTCTATGATCTAGGACAATTGTAACAAGTCCTGCCTTGTCTTTCCCCTGCTGCACCTCTCAAAATCATCGTCTCGCCCTGTTGCCACTGGCTGAACAATCTAGCAGGTACCAGTGGGAAGTGGGGAGTCACTTGCGGTCCTGGGAGCCAAATCTTGTGATGAGTTTGGGATGTGGGAAAAGCGGCCACCAGAGGCCACCGCAGCCTCCAGCAGCAGCGTTTGAGCATGGGTGACTGGTAGCCAGCAAACATCTAGCCAGAGGCCTGGGGTTTTGCTGCCCTTTCAGCAACAATTACCCGTTTCCTTCTGAGTAGCAACTCTGCTGTAACTCAGAGAAGGGAGTATTGAATTAAATTAGACACAACACCTCGTAGGCTGGGATTTTGGTGGTGATTTAGCGAGCAAGCCCACGTTGTGCTCTGCGGGCCCTGGGTGGTGTCCTTATTTGGCCAGGAGCTACTTCCTTCCTTCTGGTTGAGAGAGCAGGATGTAAACCTCCCGTATTAAAGCTTTATCTGAACCCGAAAGTGCAACATCTTAGATTAAAAACAGTGTTGAGAATGCAAAGTAAGCCTCAGATTACATCTACTGCCTGTGGTCCGCTGTGGAGGCGAGCACACGGTGCTGTGGCAGATGCTGATTTCTTTGCTTAATCCTTGGGGCAGTGGAAGTACAGAAAGCCTGCTCTCTGAATTCCCACCAATTTTTGATGCTTTCAAAACAAATTTATTACTAGAGGAGCTTATAAATTTCTTTTCAGTGCAGGAAACAGCTTTTATCTGTCCGTAGGAGACCCTTGTTTTGTGGGAGTGTTGCTTGTGGGCATCTCCCTATAGATGCTGCAGGAGCCACATGAAACCTTTGCCAGCAGCAGTTAAAGCAACTTCTCAGAAAATATAAATTAAAATCTGCAGCTTATAGATTTACCTTTGCCTGCAGCAGTTAAAGCAACTTCTCAGAAAATATAAATGAAAATCTGCAGCTTATAGATTTTTGTCTTCAAGAATAAGGAAATGTCTTGTTCCTTTAGCATGTGCCCCCTTTTATATAGAAGAAAGAGTTTTGGGGTGACACTGGAAAACAGTGTGTGAATAATACACTAATTTTTGTTGTTGCCTTTGGGGTAATTTTACCATAGTCTGCCCAGAAAAAAAAACCATCATGCACTGGCTTTAGCTGTTCTGGGCCCCAGTAGGATTAGCTCTTGCTGCTGGAAAGTGTTGCAGTGCAGGGTAATCTAGCCCTGGAAGAATAATAAGAAACATGGCTCTCCTTCAGGAATGTCTTGGGACTTTGGTGGAGTCTGGGCAAAATTTTCCTGAACATCTGGATTTGGGTAGTCCTGGTAAGAGACGGCAAACTAGCTGAATCATGTTATGAGCTGTGAATGTGCTTTGATTTGTAATTCATTAAATTGCCGGCGACAGGTTGAGCGTCTGACTGGCCTGATCACCAGCTCAGTATTACTGCGCTGGCCTCCGAGACAGGCGTCGCGCAAAAAGTCAGTTTGTGTGGCTCCATGTCTCTGGGAATGCATTTGAAAGCGGGTGGCGAGACTTGCAGTGCTTGCCCGGAGAAGGTATGACGGCGAGCACTCTCCTCTTCTGGCTATCGCTGTCAAGACGAACGGCTGCGCTGAGACCTGCAGGAACGCAGCGGGAGCCAGGAGCTGTGGTTGTGCTGGAAGCAGTCCATTCCCTCAGGACCCGAATATGTACCCCCATTCCCTCCCCCACCAAGCCTGCCCCTCTTCAAGAACTTAAGAGGTTTGAAATGGAAATCTTTTCATTTATAGCGATAAACGCAGCTCAGCAGCATGGGGGATATTACGAGCCTCCAGCTGAACAGAGGACAGAGTATGCCCCACCCTGGAGAGAATGATGTAAATCATTCTAATTCTTGGCACTGGTATTTAAATTTTGTTCATAGCATACCATAAAAAAAAAAAACTTTCAGACGTTGTAAACTGTCTGTGCTGTCAAGAAAACTCTCAGAAGCTTTCTAGAGGAAAATTTTCTAGAAGGTGAAGGAAATGTTGTTGGTGTAGTTCCTAGATGCGGCACGGAAGGTGCCATAGTTCTCTTGACCCTCTCTGCTCCTGCTCTCTTGCTCTCTTCTCTTCCCCTTCTCTGCCCCGCAAGTCAGTGAAGTCGTGAGAATGGGCTAAGAGAAACTATGGTCAACCCTGGAGGTTCCTCTTACCGGGGAGCCCCGCAGACTTG